ATCTATACATGTTTGTTTTCCTCAGATGCCTGCCTAAAGTTTCTACCATCAGTTTCAGGCCAGAATTTATATAGTCAACAAAGAAGAATCCTCTCAAGAGTCTCATGGTAAAATACCAGATACATTAAGCAACTAATGTTTCAAAGAACAAACTCTAGGCATAGGTGTCTGATGACACCAATGGGCTGAGTCGGGATTTACAGAACTTTAGTTCAGAAACAGATGACTTCATGCTACTGTTAACCCAAGGTCAGGTAAAACAAGAATTACACAGAACTGAATGAACTGATAAGGGAAATATTACTGTGGTTAATTGTTGGGAATGTTGTTTTAATGCTTTACTTACTGGTTTTATAAGGAAGTCCTGTCTACGGTCATGCCACCCTGAACAAACCCAATCCCATCTGATCTCAGAAGCTAAGCAGGGTTGGGCCTGGTTAGTACTTGGATGGGAGACCACCCAGGAAGACAGGGTGCTGTAGGCATAAAAAATAAAAAATAAGGGATTGTAAGCTGACAAGATCCTTGCAATCTGTGAGGTCAGCCAAGGGTTGCCTCGCCTAAAAATAAATAAATAAATAGAAATTTTTAAAAAAGAAAGTCTTTTCCACTTTATCTGTAACCCACACAATTTAGTAGATTCTTATTATATTATTTCATAGATTCTTGTTATAATTCATAAAATATATAGATTCTTATTATAATTCATAATAAAGTATATAGTGAAATAGTTCTATCTAGAAGTTGATAGAACTATTTCACTATATATTTTAGTATTTTCTGTATTCTTGATGCTCTAGCATCTGGCGCCTCACTGACTCGCTGACTGTAGAGAGATTGCCTCTCCAGGGCTGGCAATTCTTAGTGCTAGGAAACATAGCAAATGACTTGCCCAGGAGCCTACCCTTCATATGTAAACTAACTAGCCCAGAGCCCATACTCAGAACCACCTTCTTTATCTGGCTCATACATTTCGGGAAGCAATATTCCTCTGTCCTAATCACCCCAGAACCAGGTACCAGACAACTAGAAACAATCCTGTACTTCAGAGTCCACTAAAATGATTCTAGCCAATCCTAAGTCTGCTTGTTTTGCCAATGGAAATCATAATAAAAGCTTCTGTTCTTGCTTTCCGATCACTCCTTCTGTCTCCTGGCTAACTCTGATGCTTCTTTTAGTGGCTCTGCATGGCATGGCATGCCCTCACTCCTTCGGAGAATTGTAATTAGGTATCTTTTCACATAGCAGTCATCTTCTGATCTGTCAGCCTCACCATGTTCAAATAATAATAAAACTTACATTTCAAAACCATTCTGTTTATATAACCTAAAATGAACATTTTAAAAATGATATCTGAGTCTCGCTGACCACCAGAGTTCAGAAACTCATACTGAGTGCCCTTATTTTTCATGGCAATAAGGTTATTTGCATATATTCAATAATAATCTGTTTTCTTTTTTACCAAGGTAGAACTGGAAAAATTTGATATACAACAAAAGTCTTGCCTGAATGTCATATTGAGAATGGTGCTTATTGAAAAATGGTGCTCCATTTTTAGAAGCTAATGTGGTTTTACTTATGGAGCCAATGCTTACAAAGTCCTTTTAGGATAACAGGCCTGCTATCTGGCTTACAGTGCACAATCTTACTGGTGATAAGGACCATCACTTTCAGGCAGCCAGGAACCTAAGGTTATTTTGGGGACCTCAAGAAGAAAGGAATTCAATCAGATGTACAGATTTTCCAGGTGAAATAAGGTGGAGAGAGTACTTGGTTTCCTTTGCCTTGAGATAGTAAATAACAGAAGCGGTAAAAATCCAATCTGAGATTCCTTATGCAAGCTTCCAGAGAAAGAAGTTAATTTTGTAATTATTCAATACTATAGAGCTCTAGATTTTGCGAAGTATACTTAAGAAGACCTATGTGGCAAATTAACTCTTGCTACACCTATGTAAATAATCAAGCCAAACCTAATGAGACTAGCCTTCTTTTGTGATCAAGTATAATCTTATTACGATCAGAGAGAGAAGGAAGCGGGCACGAGGAGAATGTAAGGAAAAATTGTAAAAGACTTTAAAATTTAGTGGATGTTCTAGATACCAATCATATATAGACCTCTCTTAGAAGTTTTGAGTTATTCAACAAATAATACTGAGTTATTACTGAGTGCTGGAGATTCAACGATAAACAAGAAAGACTGAATCACTTTCCTCAAGGAATTTACATCCTAGTGGAGCTAACATTCACTCAAATGACATTTATCTAGCATTAGTGACCAATATCACAAAGTTTTATGGAAGAGAAGAAAAATACCCTTATAAAATTCTCTCCAAATAATACTTTATAAATAAGTAATTACTGCATAGCAACACAATATATCACCAAAGGAAAAAAATTCCTGAGGGAAATCACCGATTTTATATAAAAATTAAACTGTGATTCTGGGTATTTATCTGAGAAACCCAAAACACTAATTTGAAAAGACGTATATATCCCGACATTCACTGCAGCATTATTTATAATAGCCAAGATACAGAAGCAAACTAAGTGTCTGTGGATAGCCGGACAAAGATGTGGTACATATATACAATGGAATAATACTCAGTCATAAAAACGAATGAAATCTTGCCATTTGCGACAACATGAATGGACATAGAAAGTATTATGCTAAATAAAATAAGCCAGATAGAGAAAGAGAAATACCATATGATTTCATTTATATGTGGAGTCTTAAAAAAAAGTAAAAAACAAAACAAAAGAAATTCATAAATACAGAGAACATTATAATGGTTGCCAGATGGGCGAGGAGTTAGAGGATGGGTGAAAAAATGAGAATAGATTAAGAGGGGCAAATTGGCAGTTATAAGAAATACAGTCATGATAATTTTAAGTTCAGCATAGGAAATATAGTCAACAATATTATAATATCTACATATGGTGTCAGATGGGTACTAGGCTTATCAAGGCAATGACTTTATAAGTTATATAAATGTCTAATCACTATGTTGTATACCTGAAACTCACATAATATTATATGCCAACTGCAATTGAAAAATTAAAAAATTTAAGAACAGAACAAGAAATAAAAGATCTCCATTAAAAAAAGGTGTGCGTGGTATAAGGGGGTAGGTAAATCACTAGACTCACAGTTGGAAGATCTGGGTTCCTCATGTTAGAAACACTGTGCCTTTATGGAAAAGATGTTAGCTCAAGTTCTTCTAAATATGATTAAAGATGTAATTCCTCTGATGCTTAGTTTTTCCATTTGTACAAAAAGATAATAATATTAACTTGTGTTAAAACATGGTATATGCTTGGAATACAGTAAATGATCAAATAGTGTTAGCTGATTTTATTAAAAATATTTATAGAAGTTCAGGTCTTGGTCAGTCCTCAACCAATATTAATTATCTCTCCCCTCAAAAAATAGGAAGAACAAAATATGTTTCACATTTTCCCCAAATATGAAGACTTAATGTTATCAAAATTCTATTAGTCATTAGGAGAGGAAAAAAAAATCTCTCTTTGTGTAGACAGAGATGTTAGGAATGAAATGGAAATTTTACCTGCAGTGCAGGATTCCAATGCTGTATTATAAACAAAGACTGTACAAGCATATCTCTCTCCTGAAATTGTCTTTTATAAGCAACGGGATGAGAATTATATGCCCCTTTAGTACCTATTACAAGTGATGACTGTGAAATTTCTACAAGCCCAAACTACAGAATGACAAGAAAGAGGGTACTGGTCATCCAAAAGGAGAGATGGCTGGTTATCCAAAGCCCACAACGTCACAGGCGACCCTTAGTAGGAGATTCAAGGTGAGAACCTCCCTGGGATCAGTCAGACTCTGAAGGCAGCCCTTTGGGTACCTGTAACCTCTCCAGCATTACACTCCTAATCAAACAAGTGATGAGTGCACTCAGTAAAAGGGAGGATCTCTAGTTTACCACAATTCAAATGCTATTTCACGCCCACTTCTCTCTGCAACTCAACTTAGTTTAAGATAACCATGACACAGTGTAATAAATGCAGAAGGCATTTTCATTTCACTGCAAACTTAACTGACCAAATAAGAGACCATAATGCCAAGGAAGAAATGAGATAAAAATCACAAAGCAAATAAGAAAACTACAAGGTCAAATAAAATGCCAAGCCAAAGGAAGGTCACCTCGCACTCATTTGCTAATAGAACTAAACTTAAAGTTATTATATAATTAACCTATTATACTTGGAGCCTCTCACATTATTTTCTCTGGTTAACAATTAAGTGTTAACAAAAAAGCAAAGTTAACATTAATGGATTATCTATGTTCTAAAAACTGTGTTAGATGCATGACAAGCCTCCTAGTAAGATTAAAGTGGATTATATTCATGTAATCTCTTTTAAAAGCATCAAATTATTTGAGGGGTTTTCAAGATCTAAAAAATATCACATTCTACAAATAGAAAAATTTAAAAATATATAAAATGCAACTTTATTACCCAAATCAAGTTGGAAATATGCTTCATTCATTCATCTAAATATTTACTGACCTCAAAGAAGTAAACGCTACATGCACACACAAACACGCACATACACACTTCAGTGTTTCTTCGAGGCTGCTAAACTGCAGCTTAAGGAGAATGGTTCCGAGTAAACCTGGGACTTCTGATCGGCTGAGAAAAATCTCCAAGTATGGGGCAAGAAATACATGCCCTGGATAAATTAGACAGAAAGCGATCCTCCTCCGCCCTTCCCCACAAAGAGCAGGGCGGCTTCTCTAAATCAACGTCAAAGTCCAGTGTTGAAGACTATCACTTTGAATGGGCACTACATTATTAGCCTGCCCAGCACACTGCACTATTAACCACGTGTTTCAGGCCAGAGGTACATGCAAGGGCAAGCCACGTTAATCACCCGCCTACTGCAAAATAACTCTCCCAAACTGTCTGCCAGAACTGTGCCCTAGTCTGAGCAAGGCGCATCTCGGCAAAGGCCTGAAGAGTAAACCCACTACCTGACTTTCTCCGTGGCTCCTCCCATTCTCTGCTTTGAAGATGGACTTGGGCTTCCGGGACTTGAAGTTGCCCATACTGGGTCGCAGCACTCCGTCCACCAGCACGGTCTGCTCTACATGCTGCGGCTCGTGGGAGGGCGCGGGCTCCTCTAGAGCAGCCCCGGCATCGGGGTAATTTTCTTTATTGTCTTCATCTCTAAAACAGGAAAGACCAACTTTAAAAAGCAACACAAGAAGTAATAAACTGCTGCGGGAAAGAGGGGCTGACGATACTGGTTGCTGCACTATTTATATGGAACCTAGCAACATTTTTGGTGTCCACTTAGAGGGTTTCACAGGAACAAGAACTTAAAAAAATGTGAATTTCACTCTTTAGATTACTCCACATTCCCTTCCAATCTTTGTTAATGAATACATACTTTTTGCGGTTGTAACTTGGTACGTGCTGTCATATTTGTTTTTAATTTTTCTCTTCAAGATACTTTCGCACATATCATATTTTTCTCTCACAATAATAATATTAGATATTCAGGTTAGATACTGTCATCCCAACTTTATAGATTAAGCCTCTAAAACCCAGAGATTAAATAAAGTGCCTAACAGAAGGAATAATTTACCAGACCTGGAGTCATCAGGTAGGTCTCCAGTCTCTCCTCCATGTGTTCTTGGTTCAGGCATGGTGCTTCTTCCTCACTGACAAGTCTATAATCAACTCCCTACAACTTTCAGAGGCATTTAAAAGTTTACCAGGGTCTATTTCAATAAGATACATGCTACTCAGATAAAATGTAAAACAAGGGCCAAATTTTATCCAATCAAGCCATCTGAACAACATCCTTGATGCAAAATCAAAGGTCCCACTGTCTGGGTTCCATCAGTGTGGAATCGCAGGAGAAGATCGAATGGGCTAGTGTTACCTTCATACATTCAGTGCTGAGATGGCACTTTTAATTCTCACTCACCAATCAAATTCAATATAACACCGCCTCATCATTTCAATTTCCTCAAAAATAGTGACATGATAACATTCTTAATTGAAGTCAGTTATCCTTCCTAAATCTAGATGCATTTTATTTTCTTATTTTGCTAAGAACCCAGCAAATACCATGGACATAACGAAACGAGGCATTCTCTTTATATAATCAATATCATCACCTTTAACCCACTGGCAATCATTTGGTACTAGATTAGTACCACCAATTAGTGCCATTTCCACCAACTGGTGTTTTTCTCTCCTGCCCCCTGACCAAAAGCACCTACAAAAAAGATTTTGGCAAGGCCAGCTAGGAAGCAATTCCTCATGACTCAAGGACACCTAAAGCAAAGAGACAAGCATAGTTCCTATAAACACTGTTCAAAATGTCTTTACACACGCACGCACACACTCAAAAGAGAGATTAAAATCACTAAACTGCTATTGGGAAGATGAGCTCCAGTTAGTCTCTGAGAAAAGACCAAAGCAAACATCAGGAATGGAGGTCTGGAACATGACCAAGGTGCAGGTGGGCAAGGTGTAGAAATATAACTATGTGAACAGTTAAACTTAAGCCTCAAGATAAACTTAGTTCTATCTGGTAAAAAAGAATGCAAGAAGGGAAATGATTTTTCAATGTTAGTAAATGAAAAAAACTGAATGCCAGTGACACTGGTTAATATTGTCCTTTAAGATCATTCACAACAACAACAAAAAAAAAATTCTAAGTTACTAATGGGTTTGAAACCAATATCAAACCATCAGTTGGAACTATGCTAGTTCATTTGAAATGTATTTCTCTCAGGATGAGCAGAATACGTGACCCTAAAATATGCCAGTATGGCATGTAGATTATTTTGAACCGAAGACAATCAAGACCCAACAGACACAAGAAGAACTTTTTACTTCCCCTTGTTTTTCTCTACTCCATATCTTGACTGGTTTCTGCCTAAAAATATATATAGAGAGAGGGCCTGTACCAGGAGAGAGACAACACTAAAGGTAACTTTTTATATCAGAAAGACTTATCTTCATGGTCTGGCAAACATTTGTTTACTAAACGTCTGCTCTTCTCATCTTTGAGACCCCAGAATCCGACCCTCTTCTCTTTAGCTCTGAATAATATTTATGCCTCAATAACCTGACTGCTGAAGAGTCCCATATCTTTGGGCTTCCCATATGTACATAATTAATTTTTTTCCTGTTAATCTCTTATGTCAATTTAATTATTAGATCAGCCAAAGAACCTAGAAGGGAAGAAGGAAAAAGTTTTTCTGCCCTACATCTCACTAGACACAAATAATGCTCATCCATGCATTCTACGTACCTAGGTGAGAAATGAAAGAAAGAACAGCTGCCTTTATAGTAACCTAACCCTCATTCAACAAGGATTCTAGAACACTCAAGAATAAGAGAAAGAAAAGTGACTTTTCAAATCCAAAATGATTCTTTGGATAGGTTTCTTCCCTAAAATAATATCTGAACTTTGTTTTTATACCATATTTTATATCATATTTTCAAGATGTCCAGAATTTATTAATGTTATCTCATTTTATCTCCTTGACTTGAAAAGCAAGGAAGATGGGGTGGGCAGGGGGTGGCGGGGGTCGGGGGGACGTAGCAAAAAGCATCTTTCTCTCATTACACAAATATAAAATCTAAATACAAAAGTCATCTTTAGAAATATATTTCTAACCTATTACTGGCTCCTCAGACTCCACAAAACAGAAGAGTACAGGTAATGTAATTTATGCCAGTACTTATTGGAATCAACCATAACTGAGAAGAAGCATGATGTTCTGAAAACAGGAGTCCAAAAGATCCTCCCACTTATTAGTTGTGTAGCCTGAGCCACACCACTTCACTTCTCTGATCCTCATCCATAAGAAGGATGTCATCTCTACCTTGCAGAGATAATACAGTCTCTGTGAAATGCCTACCACAGAAAGCTGGCTCAAGGCCACAACTCAATAAATGGGAGCTATTGTCAGTCTCACCAGGATTTAGGCAAGTGGTTATTTGCAAAGAAAAAAAACAGGTTTCTTTTTAGTCTCCCCATACCTCCAGGATAAATTTCAAACTCCTTAGCAAGGTATACAAACCCTTCGTACTTGAGTCTTTATCTCTGAAACTCCATTTCTTACCACTCCTGGCCTCTGCTCTCAGGATTCCTGTCATCCTGAACTGCTTAGTTAGTGTTCCTTCAACCTGAACAATTTTCTCTGCCTCTGTTGGCTTTCTAGTAAGTTGTTCCCTCTGCTTGGTGGCATCATTTTTTCTTGGCCTTATATCTCACACACACAAAAAAAGTGCTATGTGTAATTTTCTTCAGGAATCTATCCCAGAAACCTATCTGGGCTATTCAGTCTTTCTAAGAGAATTCTCTGTTTATCTATAGTAGAATAGCACTTAATTCACTGTAGCATCATCATCTATATTCTTGCCTATCTCCTCTAGTGGACTGAATTCCTAGAAGCAGGGGTTGCTTTATTTAGTACATATCTTGACTAGTTTCTGGCACATAAAATAGGCCATCAACAAATGCATGTTATCCAACAAGAGGACTTCAGAGTCAGACAGACTTGAGTCCAAATTCTGCCTCATAGTGGCTATGTTATCCTGGACGAGATATAATCCTTCTGACACTGGATGAGGAGGGAAACATTAGCCTTCTTTTGATTGTTT